GATTTCTCGTGGTTTGTTTGTATATATAGAGCTAAAATACACCTATTCTGGAAAAACTCGAAGTTGGTGTTGTGGAAAATCTCCACTAGTCTTTGTTATAGGTACAGGATACATAGACTCCTATGTTTATTAGATATCTCTACATGGTGAGATTTCCAATAACCTACAAGTTGTGCAGATGATGGTGGCCAATCTTTTCGTGTTGGATTTGAATTGTAGATGTACAATTGACCATTATCCTTCTGAATACATATCCACACCCCCACTTTGTATCGATCACTGATTTCATGACCACGTCGAATAAAGTTGTTTCTCCGTTTCCGGAATGACTCCTGCTCTAGTCTTTTAGAGTTCATGGTGTAATAAAAGACGTGCTGCAGGACACTGAGCCATGTATTTATACGCGGTAAACCCGCACTGACCATGTCTGTTACACCGTTATATCAGTAAGCTTAGACCCAATGCTTGACACATCTAGATATGGATCGCCAATTGAACCCCTCTGCCTGGTACTCGGTGCTCTTTTCAGGGCTTATTGCCTTCCTCATTCTCTGTTTTAGCACTCGCCTAGTGTTTCAGTGGCTGGCTGCACTCACAACGGATGCTTTGCTCAAGTATCTAGTGTATTCTACTACTAACCTGTTTGGAATATCCAAATGGCGCATTTCAGCAAAGGATGCCATGTTCCCCCTACTATTTGTGAGCGCCAACGGCGTTTGCATGGGTTGGGGTGTCAAAGCCGCCAAAGAACTCAGCAGCCGGTCCGCTTCGATACTCGCAACAAATCTTATACTTCTGCTCCCCGGCTCGAATGCAGCAGCTGATATTCTGCATATTTCCTTGAGGGTATACCAGCAAATTCACAGTACAATTGGGCTAGTTGCCCTGATACAAGCGTCTATTCATGCTGGACAAGAACTCACTACCTACGAATGGGTTGGCAACATTAAAACGATAAGTGGGATAGCGGTATGTAAACTTGCATTGTTGTTTGTACTATGTTCTCACCCACCCAGATATTCTGCTGCGTGGGACTGATGAGTGTTACGTCTCTTCCCATCTTCCGTTATCATGTGTACGAGATCTTCCGGATCATTCACGTCAGTTGCTCGACGTCAATATGTATATTTCTTTGGCTTCATGTTACTCCATCAAATAAAATAGGTCGAGTGCAAGTCATTGTAGCTACATGTATGTGGGCAGCGACCTATACTCACAGAAACCTCCTCCTCATATATCGTAATCTTTCGGTAAACAAGCCTAACACAAGTGTCTATATTGAGAACTTTCACAACACTCTTCAAATAAAGGTTAAAGTGCCGAGGCCTTGGAAAATCCAGCCCGGCCAGTATGTATATCTTACTATGAGGAGACCTGGATTTTTTTCGATATTGCAGAGACACCCTTTCATGGTAGCAGACTCAGAATCAGATGACCACGACTTCCAGTTGCGTATTCAACCTAGGGCAGGTTTCACAAGTCGACTCCTCACACAAACTCTTTATAGAACCGGGGAGCTTAGTGCATTTATAGAAGGGCCCTACGGACGGGGATTTGACCTTCGAGACTTTGGTACAGTAGTCCTGTTCGCCAGTGGAATTGGAATCGTTGGCCATCTTGCGTGTGTTCAAAAGCTTATACGCGACCACCGACAATCAAAAACCAAGACAAGGGATCTCCTTCTAGTGTGGCACGTAGATAATAAGTATCAGCTGGACTTGGTGTGGGAGGTCATGAACACCATACTGAGAAAAGACGACCTTCCAGACGCTACAACATACAAAGATACTGGCGTTGCGTCAAGGAGCGGAAAGATAGGGCGATACCTGGGCGGTAGTATTGCTAAAGAAAGCCCAGGAGTGCGACCCGCACCGCATGGAGAGAATGCAAGTTTCAGTGTGACAACATGACTCTAACGAACGCTAATGCTTCCAAGATCATAGATGTTTATATCTACGGCGACTACGATATTCTAAATGAGGCCGGAAATACAGTATCATACAGGCGGACAGGTAGTCGAATTGCCGAGGTAAAAGGCAGGCCAGATGTAGGGCAAATTATCAACGATGTTCTAGAGACACGAGTTGGAAGACTCGCGATCTGTGGTAAGCCTTGTCATTCACTGGCGCTACACGAAATAACCTGAGTAGTATGCGCACACCGGGAAATGAGGCACCAAGCGCGAGAAGGCATTGCTCATACAAGCCATAAACGAGTGAGATATCTAGAGCTGGATTTTCAACCCTTTGAACTAAGGGAGCATAATAAGAGAAGGAATTCCTTGCCAATCAAGTGCCAAGGAATTAAAGATGCTTAGGTAGACAGAAACGAATCTCAAATCCATCCATTTGTTGACACCGTAGTCTTTGTTGGGCTCTTCGATGCTTTGTATGGCGCTATAAAGGCGTCAAATGCTTGTTCATGGTCGTAATCAAATTGATCTACCGAGTCTGAAATCGCGTTTGAAAGATCTCTGATCTCACCAAAATCTATACCGTCAAGTACACCGATGATGCATGCTTGAAGTAAATCTTGAGAAATCCCAGTAATCTTTTCCTTAAATTTCTCTGCATGCCGGTAACATTCTCGGTAGAATGTGAGCTCGAGTCTAAGTTCCCCGTTTCTGCGGTTGAGAAAATCGATGTACTGAACCAGGTCTCTGGGCTGCTTTGATTTTTGCATATGGTGAGGTTCCATTTCTATGGCGATTGTCTGGCCGCCATAGCATCGTACGATATGGTCGACGTTGTTAGCTTCGAGGGGCCTTCCACGAGGTACTTTCCTCACAGCTGAATCCATAGTCGAACGTGAAGATGTCTTGGTACCAAGCGTTCTTACGTTCTTGATGTGGTCATGGATAGAAACTTGCGGTTAGGTCTTTATATATTAAGCCTGCACCACGCGCATAGCTCGCAAAGTATCTGCCAAGATGGGTTCTAGGCGACTGACGATCTTTCCAAGAACGGTGAATGGCGTCGACAACGCCAGTCCTATTACGAGAAATGATGACTCTAGTGAACTGAGTGCCATAAAGAGAAAATTACATAGCGAAGAAGGAACATTAGAACGTAAACTTCAAAAGTTTACAACACCCCTTCGAGTAAAGCGCAAAATCTTCACACCACTCGATGAAGATCCTGGAAAATTCTATCGGTGTATACACATTGTGGATCCGGAAGGGGAAAGGCCGTATTGTATAGCCCAAGGAATCGCCTCAGTTGCTAATGAGAACGCGTATCGGGTTGTGATGATCCGACGCAGCTCAGGAAAATTTTTTTATGGCCTAGAGGATCCGAACCCGAACCTTCTCAACGTCGTGTCTGTCTTCAGATTTCAGGATTCTCTATTTACTGTATTCGATAGACCAGGTCTCCCACTATCTGAGATCGCTGTGTCTCATTCCCCACGGCTGGGTTTAGCTGAGGTAAAAACGATAAGCGCAGAGGTAGGGACACTGCACGTTCAATCATTGCGGTAACGATAATAACAATTGTTCAGGCACTTTCTGGTATCTCTGCTATGTGTGATGCAGGCCTTCACTTGCCTTCTATTGATGTGGAAGACATCACAATTTCAGCAACCAATGGTCAAGTTCAAGTTGGTAAGTATCGAACACTTCTTGAAGGCATACCGACCACTGAACAGCAGGCAGCTATACACAGAGCATATTCGCAAGAAGCAACGACAAATGAAAAGGCTACCGCCTTTGGGGTCATGCTAGATGACTTAGTGTCGCGTGTTCCAGATTCTTCAACATTACAGCACAGCCAGGATCTCGTTGCTTTCATTCAATACGCCGCTGAAACAACATATCAAGAACTGAAGAAGGTACCTATGCTTCTTTGAAGTAATATTACCACACTAAAAACGTTGTAGGATAAGTTTTTGAGAGACTCGTTGCCCACACCGTCACTGATTCCTTTTGTCTTAAATGCACAAATTATAGTTTTCCCGGTCGAATATATAACAGAAGCTGTGATTGCAGATTTAGGGACAACGTAAGAATTCATAAAAAGTATTGTTGTGAGTATAGACGTTTGAAAATATTACGATGAGAGAAACTACTAGTGCTGCCCTGCCAATGACTTTCCTCGTCGAGATCTCTTTCGTCGTCTATCTTCCGTTGCAATTTCGAGAGCCTTATTCAGGCTTGCTACCTCATTCTTTCCATCTTCAACTTGTTGGGATAGAGTCTGGATTTGCTCACGAAGCTCCATGTTGTGGTGCTGGAAATCCACATTTTGATCCATAACATACCTCAATTGTGTAAAATTTTCGTCTTCCAAATGCTGACTGGAAATTGCCTGTACAAGCAGAGCGTTCTTGGCAGACTCTAAAAGGATTCCACTGATACTTTGACCACTCTGCGACCCTTCCACATCGCCTCCAGCCAGCCTGGCTGGAGAGCTATTCAATAGGCTTTCGGCTCGCCTAGCAACCTCATCGGCAAACATCCGAGATTCTTTTGCAGATTTGTTGAGATCTTCCTGGACTTTCACACAACTCTCATACTCTTTTAAAAGTTTGTCGTGACATTCTTGCAGCTCCATAAACTGCTGGTTGAAGAGTTCGCTTGCCTTCCGCTCCTGTTGTAACACCTTCTCTATCGCTAAGATTTGACTTCGTGTATTCCCGACTTCGCTCTGAGCCGCCTGCAGGTGATTATACATGATTTGTAGCTGGCCCTGGCCATGAGTATACAAGTTGGTCATGTATACCGCAACCTGGGCACAGCATTTTTGGTTACAAGAACTCATATTTTGCTGTCATCTGAAGTCAATCACAAACTCTCTGATGGAATACCAGAATTACCTCTGATGATTGCACTGTGCATTCTTGATTTGGCTGTGACCGACTCATTGTAATTGACTCTAGTGAAATGCTTCTTTAGAAGCAAGAAGCAAGAAGTACTAGGGCAGGAACTGGACTAAATACTGGACTAGTAGACAATCGTTTCCCAGTTCCCATAATAATGACAGGTTTGTAGAATAGCAAAGCGTCATACTTGCGGAAGCTTAAAACCTGCACTGTGTCAGTGAATTCCTCCACGCCATTGATTGATAGTGTTCCAGACCTAAGCACTTCAATATCGGACCGATTTTCACTCTGCTGGCGGCGCTTAATGCAGCTATCGCATCAGTGCTTGAATGATACATATGCGGTTCTTCTAATCCGCTGGACAAGTATGCGCTCGGATCTCGTACCGACTTCTTCTGATATGACAGGGATATACCTGGTTTGTTGATGCATTACAAAGTGATTGCGAGCTACAGCCGCATTAATTCGGAACGGTTCGGCCGGAAAAAACTGCACTAGTGTTTGCAACTTCAATTTTACAAACGGTGAGCCGACTAATTATTCCATCAAATAATTACCAATCATATCACTTGAGTGACCCATAGCTGATGCCAAGCCGCATACATGGGGAGCCAAGCAAAAAGGCGCTGCAACCATGCGCGGAGTGCAGTTGCAACTGATAGGTGCTGAACGAACGCAGTCAAAACCATCGTTCTAGAAGTGATTTCTGCTGGGGAGAACCTTACCTAGTACAACATTGCTCCGACTAGTCAGTCAAGTGCCGGATACATTCGGAAGCGGTAGACCTTGTTCTCCATACTCAAGACGTACTACCATGAACTTGATGCTTGCAGCTTCTTTGTCATGCTGTACCAGTGGCTATAACAGCTTGTACTTTTCGCTAGGTTTCCAACTAACATCTAACGAACATGGCCTCTAACGATCAAACTAGATTGTTCTCTGAGCAACCGGCGTTTTTTTCATCGTTAAACACAATAGTGGCCACAGGGACATCCACCGCTTTTAGTCCTCGTCTACCACCCATTCCAGAACAAGACTGGGATTTCAATTGGGAAGAGGATACGTTTCCGCTCTCAAGTCCGTACGAAGGTTTCGAACAAACCACAACTACTATCAAGCCTGCTGCCGACGACAACTCACTGCCCCAGACAAACGAGGAGTTGACCAAGTTACAAAATGAGGTGCGACAGCTGCGTTACGATATCTCAGAGCTGAACGAAATGTTCTGTAAGCGGTTAAACACTATGGAGACGAGTTTAGTAGGGGCTCAACGCTATGTCAACAATCTAGTACCGTGGTCAATGGAGGTTCACGAGAAGTATTCGCAACTATTAGCGATAGCAATGAAGCAGGAAGACCGAGCTACAGACAGGGTTGCATAACATGCTTGGTAGACTAGTTAGCCTTTAGAAATCTCACTGTTTGTTCGTTACAAGTTATTATGTGCCCATGCACTCTCTCATGGTGATCCTTGACCGTACAATGTAGAAGAAAGTTTTAAGTATTATTGTATTCACGAATGTTTAAACAACCACTATCTATTTACGGCGTGCTTTCTCGTATCGCCTTCTTTCCGTGATACTATCATTTAGAAAGCGTCTACAGTCTTCTCCATCTACTCGCTTCTGCCGCAATCTCGACAATATCTGTAGCAGACGTTGAATGAGATATGGTATCGTTTGTGGAGTCTTCATAGTTTTATACGAGCTTAAAGAATGAATAATAAAACGCATGACACAAATATACTTAAATAGAGCGTTCAATTGGACATATAAGCAGCACATGTGTCAGGATGCTACATTATTCTATCAACTACTTATCTTTCTTAGAGCAGGTTGAAATACTGCACAATTAGTGAATGAAAAATCGCGTGACTTCATATGGTATTCTGGGCTTCCAGGATGTCCTCACGCCAACTTCTTCTTTGAACCGACTTCAAGTCGCTTTTCATCTAACCATTGCATAGTCTAAATTACGTTTCTATTTTATAGAGCTATTCTTATACTGAAATTAGGACACCGCCGCTTCGAGAACCTAATCCCTGAGGGTACTGTTTTCTTTCTTTTTCTACTAGTTTTACATTGACAACGAGTCATGCCTGTATAGTCCGCGAATTGATGATCGGATCTCCCAAACTCAGCGTCCAGCTGCTGGAGCCTTACAAATTGCGACATCGACTGTGGGAAACCACTGATTCTTGTTTGATTCGATTGATTGAACTGCAGGTAGATGGATATTCTCTGGTCGACATGGTACACTTTGAACTTGACAGCTTTGCAATAATGACCACATACCGTACAAAGGCTGGAGTCGCTGATATTGCCCAAGCTGGTACCGTCTTCCATGGCAAAAGAGGCATCTGGATATTCTTGTAGAATTCTTTCAATCAGCGCACGCTTGTTGGGGCTGCGGCAGCGGATAGAACCAAAACATGTTAGCAATGTTCTATTGGCAATAGGCTTCTGGTGGAGTTCGAAAAAGAAAGCAGCGGCAAAAAGCGCCTGCGTGATGCTAGTAAAATCGTAACCATGAAGAAATGTCGCAGTTAAGTCTTCTAGATCTGGTATCTTGCTCACGTCATCTAGCCCTGGCTCGGTGCTAAGCGCTATGTTAACCCGGAAGTATCTGTGCCGTTCCTCGAGAGAGACTCGATTCAGGTGATCCTCCCAGCTGTCTTGGGCATTCAACATGGCGTTGAAAAGCCGGAATAGGCGCGAGAAGAAACGGTCACGAAAACCTAATCTTCTAGAAACTGTCTGTGATGGCTCCAAATCTCGAGCGAACCCTGTACCTATTGAGACAGCTAGGTCAGGTGTATTGTCCCAGATGGCTTTCGACTCCCACTCAGCGGGACCAATAGGATTGTTATGCTTTCCTGCACCACCATCCTGTAAAAATCCAATACCCTGGATAAACTTCGCTGGGAAGTAGGACGGAGCAGCTGATGTAGCTCTAGCTCTGGTTGAAATAAGTTTGAGAGCTTGACGAAGGAAACATAACTTACGCGTCGCATATAAGAGTCTCCTCATTTACACAAGAGGCTCGATAGTGGTGGTATCCTGTTTTGCTCTATTAGCATTCCACCTGAAGATGGAATATATCATCTCACCTTTCCTTACTCCCGCTCCATTATAGTTAGAGAGGATGCAGAGTTTCGAATTAGATACGGCCATTGTAGTAACTGCCACTTTTAGACCTGATATACCTGTGTTCGATGTGTTGGAGCTAAATAGCGTAGTGTTTGATCCGAATGCTTCTTTTACGCATGCCTCCATCTTGACGGCTCCGTAGAAGCTATCTGTGAGTAGTGAATACAGAAATCGATACATGTTCGCGAAGAGAAAATTTCCGGGCAAAGGGCGAGGAACGAAGACACGTTTGGACAGCTGCTTGAAGATGTCGATGCACTCGTCCAAGCTCCGGCGTAGGAGAAACATGAGCACAATAAGGCCGCCTGCATCTTGTGATGAGCGATGTTTCTATTCGCATATATCGAGCCAGGAAAGATACTTACCTGTACTTGTACCCAATGTCAAGTCAAACTCATCATAGATAGGGTAAGGGAGTTTTCGATACTTATCGAGCGCTTGGAGTATATGTAGCGTAAATATTCCCCGAATACCGCCTCCGTCAAGAACGAGCAGGCGGCTTCCGGCGGTTGGTGGTTTTAGACGAACTGTCAGCTCAACATTGGAATGGCATAAGATGCATTGCGAGATGCGGTATGAGTATTCCATTTGGTGCCGTTTTAGTCCAAATTTGCAAGCGCAGGAATCACAAAGCGCGTGCCCACAACGCAAGCTATGTTCAGGCTTACGTAAGATGCAATAAAGGCAGACTTGAGAGCTTCGGAGCGTATTCCAGTCGATGAGTGTGTCTTGGAGATTTCTCTTATGCATTTGGACCGCCGTAAGCGCGTCTTGCTCAATCTTGCAGCAGAATCGGCTAAAAAACACTTTCAATTGTTTACATGAAGCTGTTGGAGAGAAGCCTCGTTCAGATGGTAAGGACGAAAAGACGTCATAACAATGAGATTGATAAAGGGACTCGAAGACCGAGGACGGTTTGAAGCCTGTTGAGTAAGACCCTGACATGATAGCTCGGCATAGAGTACTTACGATGCATACCTGGCGGAAGACTGTCCAGCATAAGCGCAGAAGCAATGTACTTGAGGGAAGCCTCTTTGCTTACGTGATTAGCGGTGCATAGCGCCAGAAAGCTCCGTAGATTGGCTCCAAGATATTTTTCTTTTCGATTTCGCTGACGTGAAGCGATAATAAAGTTGAACGGTGTGGAATTACATGTCGCTACATGTCTTAATGCCAGCTCGAAGAAGGCATTGAGATGGTAGGCTGAGTATAGCAGCTTGGAGGCGTCCCTGCTTTTCCTTGTCATCCTCACACTAGAATCGATGGCTTTCTTCAATTTGAAAAACTTCGGGGAAGGCAGGGTCTTGCGGCTTTCTTTTGGTAGTACCACGCGATGGATACTACTAAATAGGGAAAGGCTTAGGCTTCCCTTCCGCCTGTACGTGCGATTACTGACAAGGATGACCTGTGGCTTCCAGTCTTGCGATATGCTACTATGCTGTTCACATCTTTGTAGGAAATAGATTCCTTCCTTAGGCGTAGAGAAATCCTCAAGGAAAAGACAAATAACATCGACGAACAATATTAATAACTTGCCAACTACGATTTCCACAAAAGTCTCTACTTTAGTTGCGGATGAATGCTCTGACAGCCACTTGACTTTATGAAGCAAGTGTCCATTATGCTTTTGTAATGGCTTCTGTTTGCTGCAAGCTTCGTCAATATCTAGGCTCGCAACTAGTAGCGGGTATTCGTTGTTGGATGTGCAATTGTCTGCCTGCAACTGTGCAATACCGCGTGACTTTGAGTGGGCACGCGTTTGTAGCAGCGCACGGCGCGCGGCGTCTTTCTCACGCTTACCAATCAGCAAGACTGTAGAAGGAAACTGTGCATGAGGATTACAAAAGTCAGCAGTCGCTCGCTGTAAGGCATCCCCACACGCTAGGAACCAATCAGTTCCAGTTTGAAAGCCGTACAGCCAATCTGAACAATTGTGTGGCGGCATGACTAGAGGAGTTGTATGAAAGACAGTCTATGTCTCATGCGCAAAAACCTTGTCGGTGTCTATATAAATACTTTTCTGAGATAAGCAGGTTCTTGCAAGACTCACTTTCAAGGGGTGCTAGCGGTGACAGATTTATAAAGAATCTGAAACTGAGCTGATACCTCCCAGAAGTCATAGTATGAGTGCAAAAGTTGAAAGATTTCGATACTACCTTGGGACTGCCCAAATACGCCTACTGAATCTATGCTACGGTACATCTGGTTCGGATCCTGACGATTGCGTCGGATGCTGCATATCTGATCTAGAACATAATTTACCGGCTTTGATCGAATATTCGGAGTATCAGAACTTTCTGGATGAAGCAGGCATCTCCACACAAGCGTTGTATGCTGTCGGAAATCCGCCAAGGCTTGCTCTTTCAGGTAGGGTTCAATTACCATGCCTCCACGGCCGATTCCGATTAGAGACCGCGAAACGAGATAGATTGCACAACCAAGACGACTGGTGGCTCGTGAATCTCTACAGCTCAGGTGAGAGAATCATTAATTCACACGCAATCGTCTGCTAAACAGTAGATAGACGCACCCACAGCTACGTTGGTTCAGATTCGTCGATTATACTTGCGACATACGCCTCTATGTGACGGAGAAAAGTTTCTTCACGTTCGATTCTATGAACGTAAGAAAGATTACGAGGTCGCTTTAAGGTGGAAGAAGTTGCTTGGAGCCAAGGTGAAGAGTCTTCATCAAGTTCTGCGTAATGACTGGCTTCGCGATTGTCTTGAAAAATTAGAGCCATTTCGCTCCCTATGGATGGGCTTTCAGCTTGGATGTTTTCCAGTGATTCTGAGCTGGCGGTGCAGACAGGTACGAGTCCACTCAATCCGAAGCGACTCAGATCATTGACTTCTCCAGGAAATCGAATGTTATCTAAGCCAGATGTATGAGATTTGGCATACAATCACAGATGGAAACACTTACCTCTGTGATGAATACACTGTTGAGAGGCTTGGGGGCCTTGCACCTCGATGGAGTTCTTGCGATCGCTCAACGATCGAGACCCTGTTCGCCAAATGTCAGGTCTTCCCTCGCGCACAGGATCCTGCTGTACGCGGTCAAATGCTCCACAGAGTCCTTGCTGTCGAAGGATTCATCTTGAATTTCCAGACTTTTTTCAAACATGTCAAGGTACTAGGACCAATTATGCTTCCTCTTAGAGAGTTGTTTCCAGCGAGTGAACTATTCCCTCCAAGGGACGAATTCAGCCCGATATCCAGACGTCTTCCCTCGGTAAGAGACATTCTACTTCAGCGTTGCTACAAGCAGTATGAGAAAAATGAGCAACAGTGTTTACTACAATACAACGAACATGATGAACAATTCTTCGAATGTAGCGATCCCGGAAAATATGCGTACTGGCAACTCTGTCTTTATCTTTCCCGCCACACGAAAAGCCAATGGAATTTTTACAAAGAAAAGAAAGGCCAAATAGAATTACCAGAGCGTCTAGAATGGATCATTCGGCTTGGTCACTTTGCGCGTAGGCTTGGGTTTGTGTCCAGTGAAACATCTTCTCTATGCAATCAAGACCCGGATCTTTCACAGATTCGCATGCACATGCTTCAAGAACGACCGAGTCACCTATTCTCTGCGCCTGCAGACAAGTTCGATGCAGAATCTCATTCTCGTCAAACTGGCCAAGCGATCTTCGAGCCACGCCGGCCTGCTCTAACTCCATTGATGACGACCGATAATGCGACTACCATACGGATGCCTCGGAACCATCCAGGGCTATTTCTTCCTACGATATGGACCGCTCTTACCCAAGAGCCGAGATATGCTTTGACAGAATACGGGGTGCTTGTGTTGATTCTCATGTCTTTCTTTGAGAAATTTGGATCAACATCTGTCAGCAGTATCTGCGAGGGCTTTCAATCGAACCAACCGAACCAACCGACCCTACCGGCTCATCCGGCCCATCCCGAACGATCGCCGTTGCGATCTTCCTCTTTATACTCAGTACCCGTACATCCCGATCATATGGCTAGGTACCATGATGACCACATCACATTCTGGCAACTGCCCCAGAGTCGAAATATGCGTCCCCAGGCGAATTATGTATGCGATGTGACTGAAGTGGACATCAAGAAAATAGTAAATACCATTCATGCGCAGGGCGACGCGCCTTTCTTTGCTTTACTAGATAGAGGCGGGCTACTTAAGCTTTGTAATCCCTCACAGATTTTGCATCGCCGTAAAAGATCAAAGCAACCTAATGACATATACTATGTCTATGGAAAGGAAAACAGTAAGATCTGGATTTTAAAACAGCTCGATGGTCGATAAATCTGAGTCTTGGTTATTGTATTACATATGTGTGACAATCACAATACCTTCGATTGACCGAGCCGACAGCATTCCTGATTGCTTGACAAATACTCTCGATTCCAGCTTTTATAAAATAACTCATAATCACATTTATTAGACCGACATATTCCCGTAGCGTCTCCGATGAGAGAGCCGATGTTCATATCAACTGTGGCACGGTAGTATTCACTCCAGGAACCACGTAATCCCAACTCTTAGCAAGTCGCCACATGCGCAATTGTGGCACAGCACTAACACCCAGCTGCTATCCTATGCTTTCGTTTGGGCACATATATTGCTGCTAATTGACTGGTTGCATGTTATGTGATATGCACTTACAGATAATCCTGGGCATGATGCAAAGACCTAGGCAACGGGTGAAGAAAGCATGTAATCGGTGTCGATTCAAGAAAACAAAAGTAAGCGTAGCTATGGATAATGCGATTGACTACAAGACTTACATTACTACTGTGTGATGGGGAACGTGTATGCAATAAATGCCGGATGGACGACGCATTATGTGACTATAGCCAGGATGCAGGCCACCAGCAGAATGAAAGATCTCTGTGAGTATTACTGGGATGAGAGAAGTAGTTAGCTCAGCAGGCTCACACTATATATAGGGTAGCTCTTCTTGAGGCACACATCAAACAGCTACAGGATACAGTACAAACGTTGTACGAATACATTCGAACTGGTCATAACATGCCGATGCTGCCAGGACGGAGCCCGGGAGACGATCGTCCACTCGCGCACGACATTGTGGCATATGTTAATACACTGCCTGTGTGCATGGAAACCAGCTCCGACCAGTTGCAGCACCAGTTTACAGTGCTGAGCACCGCATCTACTTTGTCTCTACGACAACCACAGCCAGAAGCCTCATCGTTTCTAAGCATTACTGCAACTGAGCCTCAACAAATTAACTTCATGGCGCCTCCGATGCAACTAGATCTGCCATTAACAGAACCTGACTTAGCACAAGTGGAACACGATTTTCTAGGAAGCATGTCGGACCTACAGGAGTTTTCGTCGCTCGCGGAGGCAGACCCAGCGGAGGCGGCGAGATTGCGTCGATGGATATAATCAAGCTAATCATGAGAGATGTAATTCTTTTTAAAGTTGAAAATGGGAATCCAAGCATCTAGTTGAGGGTAATGAAATCATATTGACTCAGTATCTGGTGGTGCAAAATTTCCGTGTTCTAAGACGTGTCCCATGTAGAGCTAGAGCATATGCCCTTATACTGTTCTGGCAGAAGCGATGGACTCGTCGTCCTCAAATTCTAAACAGCCATCAAGCAGGTTTTCCATGGGTTCGCTGTAGGCCTCCATATTCTCAAACTGGGTGCTGCTTGAAGAAACGCGCTCTAGGTTCAGATCATCAGCATCCACTAGTTTATTCGATATGCGGCCCTCCTTTGCAATCTGGACGTCTATGCGTTTGACTTCATGGCGTGTGTCTAGCTTCAAAACCTGCTCTTCGAGATTGTCTCCAACTTCCAGAGCATTTGCCATGGTAGTGCGGACGTAATGGCTGATGTCTACAGTCGCTTCCTCGATCGCTCCACTAGCGTCCAGTAGCTGTTCTCTCTGAATGTCTATAGCGCTCCGTAAACTTCGAAGTCGAGTGTTGATCTCTTGTAGACTTGGGTCTTGATCTAAGACCCATACGGCTAATTCGTTTTTCTCGCGTAGATAGAGAGCTTCGCTACAACCTGGCGGACTCAACAGCCTGCTTGCTACTTCGGAGCGACATGCTGCACCTCTGAGCATCAGATTTGCTGTGGTACTTAGTAATCCTCATAGTGCTCGCTAGGACAGACTACATACCTAACAGTACGACACAATCTGTATCTTGACTACCAGCAAACTGCTCAGTGGGCAATGGCCCCAACTGAAGTGGACGGACAAAAAAGACATCTTGGAGTAACTGATGGTACTTATTAGGGCCCAAAACCTTAGCTACGCGAAGAAGCATAAGGAGCTTGGTTGTCGAAATCGTCTCTGGTCTTAAGGTTTGTGTGATGAAACTGTACGCTACAGTATGATGGACGCGCGACGTGGTGGGGATCTTGTAACGTTGAATAGCGTCAGCCATCTTCACAAGCGTTTGCAGCGATATGTGTGATTGCGGTATAAAAGAGCCATGAGCCGACTGGCACATCAAGTGGAAAGCTTCAGGATCTTCATCAGGAAGCTCGATACTGTTACGCAACGTGCCGTTTTGCGTGGTAAAAAGCTTTTTGAACTCAGGTGACGTTTCTAACATGACGGACGAAGAGACACGAAACCGAGTTTGTTGGATCTGAACTTCGACGTCGCCTTTCTCGTAAAGAGTCATGCTGAGATTGATTGCGGAGGTAACTGTAAATCAAGATAAAGAAGTTGTTTGTATACAATCCATACTATAGTAGTATATATAGTAGAGTAGCTCAAAATTTCTAAACAGAAAACACAAGCTGCGCATTTTTCTCGCATTAGATAGCGATATGTCTGCGCACGCCCTCATTGGCAGCACCCATTCGTTCACAACAATGTTCGCAGGGCCACTAATTGGCAGAAAGGTATGCCGTTACCTGGCTATCTCGGATGCCGGCCCATTCTGTGACGCTAAACAGGTCTTCCGTAAAACGGAATGCTCACATGAGACGATCATCGATTCGGCGTTTTCATCTGTTCGGCTGTACTGTAGCACGGCAAGCTTGAAATACCTCAAACGCTACTGATCCAAGCGCTTGCAACACCAATAGAAACGACATCCGATTCTCCGAACCAACGCACGGCGGCAATTACGTTCATTTTCTTCGTCCGCCTTCCGTTCGAACCGTTGCGTCCCGAGTCTAAATCCTTGCAAGGATCCCTGAAGTGGTTCTAGATTTGCGCGCGCCACAAGACATGACTCAGTGCATACGAGGTGGTTGAACATGAACGCACGATCTGTGCATGCAATTCAGGAGATCGCCGCATAAAGATTATATTGCACATTCATGTTATCCAAAGGCAAAGTTTGCAAAATGGCATTGATCGCTACTATGTCCGCGCAAAAAAAAATCCTAGGATCTTGTTCGCATAGTATCTAGTTCAAAGATATCTTGCCTGATGCAGTTATGATTGCGTCCGTATCAGATATTACAACGCCTTTTAGTTCCTCTCTGAGCTGCAGTGCTCGTGCAGAGCTAATCCCGTGACCATCGCTGGGAATGCTAATTACTGGAGTTGATGTAAGAGCCTTGTGGAGAAAGGGAGGGGATGGTATTGTCTCCTTGGCTAGATTCTCGTTAAGCGCAGTGGGGGAAAACTTCAGCAGTGGGTTGAATGCTCTGCAAAGCAAGCGATGGTATATCATAGTCAGCCCTGTAGCAAACACCATGATGCATGCCTGTCCAATGCACCTAGCTTTGCCCTGCGAGTCTCGTACGAGAAGAAACAGAGCAATCAGACAGGCTTGCATTAGATACAACCCCATCAAGAGATGTTTAATTGCTTTGGGATAGAAAAGACCTCCACGATCCCGCTCAGTAATCAGAACACCTGAGCTGGAGAAGATGATCCAGAATAAGCTTAAAACAAGGACCTGGACGAGCACCCAGTCAAAACGCCAAAGAAGCCCTCGCTCGCTCGGCACCAAATCCAAACGCTGATACAGAGATT